GAAGTCGAGTGTTATAGACGCGTAAAGGGGATTGAGTAGATCGACCTATGTTTAATTCCCGAGATAAACGAACACAAAAATATATACAAATAAATACTAGATGCAAATGTATGATTTTGAATTGGATTAAATACCTTTTTTTTATTTGTTTCATATTAAATCATGACGGAAGAATGATAACCTCGTAAAACCAAGGGTCGGTATCAACGTCATTTGATAATAATTTGTGTCTTAATTAGGTCAACCCTAACGGATAGGATCTAACTTTTCTATGGTTAGGCAAAGCTTGACTAGTCCTAAAGATTTTTCAAGCATTTAGACCGTCTAAATTACCAGTGGGGTAATCCGACCTCTAACCTTATACACTAAGAGGTAGGGAAAGGTCATTCCACCATTTCCAATGTATAGGGTGAGTTTCGGTCTAAACGAGAGTTTAGAAGAGCATCGATAGACTTTCATCATACTCGCCTCCAAATCACTCTATCTAATTCCTATCGTAGGGTTTAGCTCGGGTCCAGAGCTTTTAGGGTTTTCTTCGTGGTGTGTGCAACAATTAATAGAAAATGCATACAATCCAATTCAAAAATAAATGTGTAGCGAAAAAATAAATTACAAAAATTTAAATATATACATAATAAATAAATAAATAAAATTCAAAAAATAAATATAGGAGATAAATTAAAAACTAAACATATGGCCTAACTTTAGTCCCTAGTGGAGTCGTCATTCAGTCGCTACACTACGTCGAACGGGACTCCCCAAAGATTAAATCTATGCATTAATTACTTATAAAATTATTTATAGAGTTTTGGAGTCGCCACCTAGTATTTAAGGAACTAAGAACCTAAAATTAGCACTAGTTCGGAGATTCCTAAGGTAAGGAGTTGGTTATGCTTTTAGGAAGATATTTAATCACATAAAAGTGTCATTTTCGAAAAAAGGTACCATGTATGGTTTAATTCTAAATTCATCTCCTAAAAATCCATGTCAAACCATTTTCTAATTTTTAAACTCCCATTTTTTTCAAAGTTAAACTAATTTTTTTTTACTTTGGGCGTGGCATCGTATTGAAATGATCGTTGGTCCCCTTCGTCGAGCGACACGTCGGTTCAAACATCGAATCCACTAAAAGCCTTGACACAACCGACGTGTCGAAGGACATCTTAATTAAAATGTGATTTTTGGTGACGTCACTCCCTATCAAGTAGGAGACTTTGTTGAAAATCTTGAATATTCTTTTTGGTGACGTCGATCCCTATTAGATAGGAGATTTCATCAATTTATTTATTTATTTATTATTATTATTATTATTTGGTGGCGTTAGTCCCTACCAAATAGGAGGCTTCGCCAAAATTTTTAGGTATTCTTTTATGACGTCGGTCTCTATCGGATAGGATACTTCGTCAAGATTTTTATAATTTTTTCTAACCATATATATTAAAGAAAATAAAATAAAAAAATTGAAGTAACAATTCTAAATTAATATAAGAAAAAAATGACAAGGAATAAAAATAAACAGAGCTAAAAAAATAAATAATAAAAGTAAAAAAAAAGAAGATAGATGAAACAATAATAAAAAAAGAAATCATCCCATACCTAAACCATTAACCCATAACATATTTTTTCTACCCATCCCTTTTTCGTTCTTCTTTCTTATTTTTTTCTTCTCTAATTCTATTTTTTAAAATTTTCTTTATCACCTCTTTTCTTTTCTTTTTTTTTTTTTTTTTTTTTGAGAGAATGGATTGGAACCAGCCTTCTCGTTTTTTTTTTTTTGAGTTTTTGAAGGGTGGGCTATGGGCTAAACTTCTAACAATCCATCCCCCTCCTTTTGTTTTTTTTTTTTTTTTTGCAAATGGGATGGGCTGATTGCAGTCCGACCTCGCTTTCCATTTCCTCCTCGAACTGAGCCGAGCTCGAAAACAAACCCATCCGAAACGATGCCTTAAATTTGGATCAAAACAAAGATTTTAAACCTCTCGACCCTCTCTCTCTCTCTCATGTTCTTCCTTTTTTCTTTATATTTTTCAAGTTTCCTCAAACTAAGAACTCAATTTCAAACAAAATGAGCCAATTAACATGCAACCTTTGTACTCCTATTTCAATCACAAATAAAAAATAAGCCTAAAGCTTAAACGAATTACGAAACCAACATTTAAAATGTAAAAGAAATAAAAAAATGAAAAAATAACGAGGGAAAAAAATGATGAACATAGACACTGTATACTTGATGTCGATAATTGAAGAGAAAACGGAAAAAAACTTGAATCAAAATCGACCCTCGGGATAGTTTTGGAGAACTTAAAGAACCGTTAATGGATCTTGGTATGCTCGAATGAGTTCAAGATGGAGGATCAATGTTCAACAATGTGAAGAACTTAAAACTCGTAAACCCGTAAAGACCAAGAACATTCAAGTGTAACCTAGAAACATGAAGAACAACGCCCGAGTTTTCAAGGAGAAAAGACCGAGAATTGAAGGATTTGAAACCCAACTTTAAGGAGTGGGATTGAGAAAAACTTGATGATGAAAAATCAATCCCGAGAAACACCAAACAAAGGACTAAAATGGATTGATAGATGATAACCTAAAACCCAGAACCCCAAGAGCGCGAAGAACACCAACCTAGAAAACCTAGAAAACGTAGTGACTAAAAATCAACAAATCAAGCCTCTTGCTTTCAATTTTCACTCCCTCTCAACCCAGAATTCTTCCTCTAATTCTTTTTCCCTATTTTGTAAAATCAAACCCATTTTATAGCCAAAACTTCCTAGAATTTCTCCTAAAATCAAATCTCAATCTCGAATTTTTTTTATCAAAATGTTTCCTCTTTAATTCATGATTAATGTGAAATCAAAATAGAAAATTTGGTCATTGCTTTTCGTAGGTATTGATTTTGGCAAGAATCCATGATTAATGCAAAATCAAAACAGAAAATTCGGGGAAGATTTGGGAGATTCTCCTAAGGATTTTCGAAGAGAATCTAGATTTGGAGTGGACGACGAGTTGTCCTCCACATTTCGATCCTGTCGTCTACTCGAACATTCCAATTTGGTCCTCATGCATTTCGATTTTAGCAATTACGCCCTTTTGTGTACAATTTCAACACAATCTTATCAATTGGGTTTATGTAAGAAGTAATTTAGGTTCTAAAATTTTCAATTGGTTCGATTATACCCCAAATTACTTTAATTATACCTTTCTTTAAATGCAATTGTGCCCATGAGTGAATGTTTTTGTGTTTTTTTATCATTTTCTTCTTGTTTTTTTTTTAATTTTTTTCGTAAACTTTAATTGAAATAAAACAAAACATACATGAAATAAAAAATAAAATAATAAATAAATAAATAAAGGGTAAATTTGGGTTATTACAATAACAAAGTAATTTTTCAATATTCCTTATATCTTTAATCGAATCAATTTTATCCTTAAATATATGTTAAGTTTTTAATCTATCATTTTATCAACATTTTTAGATCAAATCATCATAATTATTAATGTGATTTGCACATAATTAGTTTTTTTTCCCTCAAATACTTTTGCAAGGAAGTTAAATAAAAAAATTTCATGTATAAATTATGTGATTAATTCGATAGTTTAGTTTGAAAATCTTTTCAGAATAATAGATTAAACACTTAATATATATTCAAAAATAAAATTGATTCAGTTAGAAATACAAAGATATATATAACGTTAGACTGAGCCATTAACTCTAGTGATTGAAAACATTTTGGGCATAAAAAGACACAAAAAGGACGTTTTTTGTAATTTCTTAAACATAAACTGAGTTTTTTTAATCAAATATTTAAAATATTGAATGATATTTGTAATATCACCACTACCTCAGAAACGTTATTGTAATTGATCCCAAATGAAATGTCCTACCAGTATCATTTCAAATGTTCATTTTAAAAGTCAAAATATAGTAATCACCACTCTTTCATTTACTCTCTTGCTATCCCCTGTCGCTTTTCCAATTTATTAAAAACAAGAATATTGAACAATATAAAATTTGATTAGGAGCAAAAGCAGAACAACATATTAAAAATAAAAATCATTAATGTATGGCTCTATTCATAACATATATGTGCCTTTTCAATAACGATATTAATTTTGGAATTGAAAAGTACTCCCTTTGTCCTGAGGAAATCATCCTCTTTTATTTTTCACATAATTTTAAAAAATTATTAATTATTAAGCTATATTTTTTCAACTACTTTTTCCTTAAAATTATTAATTAGTTACCGAATTTAATCCTATACTATGTGAAACCAATAATAATTTAAGAAGAAAATCTATCCAAATTTTAAATAGTAAATGAAAATCATTAAATTAATTAACGATCAAATATAAAGCAATTACGAAAAAATAACATATTAATAAAAATATTTTTACTCTCAATTTTGACATGCAGTGAAGTCCTTACAAGAATGAATATTTTTTATTTAACAAAAAAAATTTTTTTCTTTAAAATTTTTATGTTAAAAGTATTTGCATGCATAAGAAAAAAATATAAAGAATGTTGATTGTTTGTTAATGAAGAACAAGAAATTGAATAAAGAATTGATTTTTCTTTATCTATTAGGACTATTTTAAGAAAATACATATTTAAATTTTGACTAGAAAAATATCTTAAAAAAATATAAAGAGAAAAGAAAACAATCTATTTAGAAAAAAAAAAATTAAATACGATGACATGAGACCTAGTGTTTTTTTTTTTAAAAAGAAAATGTCATTCATTTCTAATCAAATTTTATAATCTTACCAATTGTAGAAAAAAATTAAAATGTATTTAAAAAGATAATTAATAAATTTTTGAAAAGAATTTATAGTTAATGTCGGTCAAGAGACTAACTATGATTTTCAAAATTACGATGATTAATTTACAAAATCATAAAAACATAGTTACTAAGTTATTATTTACCTTTTTTTTTATACTACTATATCTATAAGCTCGTGATATTTTTGAAGGATCTTTCTAATTTGTAAAAACAAAATAGTGGGATAAACGATTCCTCACTCGCTGGGTGTGTTATTTCCATTAGCTAGGACCAATTCATGTAGCTTCTCTTGCTTCTTCTTTTTTTATTTTTTTATTTTTTTTATTTTTTATTTTTTATTTTAATGAGGATTGAGGACTGATCGATGCATTAGCGTATTCGAAAGTGATTCGTGTATTTTGTTTTATTTTTACTTAATTTCTATCATGCGGTGTGACCAAGTTAGATTTTATATCATGATATATATGATCTTTTTGTAGAATGAAAATATCACTCCTCTTCAACCTGACATTTGACCTTAGCAGAAAATGAACATATTTACTTAATCTTTAGACGAATCCTTTGGTTTAAAAGCCATCCATGTATAAACTTGTACGCTTAATTACATCAAGAAAATAATTGTAGAATTCACTAGAATCACATACGCCTAATAATTTTGACATTGGGTTTATTCCTCCAATAAAATTACGTTTGTTTTCTTAGCAACAAGTTCTCTCCACTAGCCATTGCGTAGCCTGTTACATCACTATGAACCTTTCGTCAGTCTCAAGTCTCGACCACTAATTAATCTAAATAGACCAACCAAAGAATAATTTCTTGCCATTTCTTCCTCGCTTATGATACCTTCCGCTTATTGTCAGGTCCCACCAAACCACCAAATAATTGGCTTGAACCTTGAATCCACGTCTTTTCCACTTTCACAGCATGCTGTAAGCACTAAACCCTATTAATAATAGCCCCAATCTTTTTAAGGATGGACTTTGAAATGATTGATTCCACGGAACAACCACGTTTTGGCGGTCATAGATCGATGATGATATCAAGTAATCATTAGCAAGAATGGGGACTTATCATACCGATCATAGAGAAGTTGAAGAAGTACCATTCCCATAACCATCAAGACCAGACTTGAATTAAGATACGTAGGACGAGGGGGCACCAAGGTAGGTTGCCTGAAGTCTGAACTGATAAATCGTTGTCACTTGTTAAAATTAATATACACAATTGGTCCCTAATCACCTAACCGAAAATGATTGGAAAAAGGAGCCGTGAAAATTACAAAATTTCAACTATCATCAACATGCAGAACTACAAATCATGGAGCTTCCTCAGAGAAAGTACATCACCTTCCAGTATCACTGAATGAATGCCCAGTGCGGCCCTGGAAAGGAGAAAGAAAGAACAAGTTATATGTATGTGTACATATATAAACACACACAGAGACTTCCCTTATCTTTAAAATATCCTTGTTTTTGACATTCCACATAGTTTAATAAAGTTATTAATTGTTATGTCATCTTTTTTTCATATTTTTTCTAAAATATCATCTTGCATAAAATCTATTAAAAAATAATTGAGTAAATAAAAAAATTATTAAGTTAATTCACGATAAAATAATTATGAAAAAATAATATACTAATAGAAATATTTTACTTCCGGAGTTTTGACATGCGGTAAAGTCTCTATAAAAATAAATCATGTTTATGTAATAAAAAATTTTTCTTTTAAATTTTTATGTTTAAAGGTATTTGAATGTATAAAGAGAAAATATCTAAAAAAATATTAATTTTTTATTAGTAAAAAAACAGAAAATAAAAAATAATTGATTTTCTTTATCATGTATAGATATTTAAAAAATACAATATTTAAAATTTTAACAGATAAATATTTTAGGATAAATATAGATAGAATGGAGAACAATGTTTTTTTTTTTTTTTTTTTTAGGAACAAAAGAGTATATACGAAGGGGAAAAAAAATAATAAGAAAGAAAGAAAGAAAAAACAAGGATGATTTCAAAGACACGGAGAGCACTTTAAGCCCAAAGAAGAGGCTTACAGCCCAGCTAACCAGTCTTGTGAAAGGAAATGCAAACACCTTGAGCGGCCTACATCCTGCAGCCCACATAGACAAACTCAAGCTCGGAAAAGGTTAAAAGTCAACGGCTCTACGCTACCTAAATTCACGTGTGTTGTTAAGATCCAGAGAGGAGAGCAACAACAACAAAAACTAACAGCATCCAGCTAGTTAAGAAGACCAATGCCTGTTAAGTAATTTTGTATGGTTATGTTGCTAATTATTTACTATCATGCTAATTAATTATATCAAATCCTTCATATTCTTCCCCATACATACATGGCTTTGTGGTCAGCACCTTCCCTATTCTCAGGCAATTTGGGGACTACTCCTTCCAAGATCTCATATGCATAAAAGTTTAAGTAAAAAAAAAAAAAAGGAAGTAAATCAACACAATACACTCATTAAGAAATAGAGGGCAACAAATAGTATTGCTTCTGAAATCACAAATAATAATAAAAAAGAAAAATAATTAGAATGCCAAAGCAAAAATAAAAAAAAATTAATGAACAAAAATCGGAGTCCGCTTCTATGACCAACATCACCACATGCAATGCTTTGTTTGCTGTGTTCAAGTTCCAAGCACAACAGAACTCATTTGCCTTTTGAATGCCAAGTAAGGTGTCTTGACATTTGATTGGTTTGAGAAAGGTTATAACGAATCATATCATGTATGGTTAATACAAAGGCCTGATTCTGAACTCTAGATGTCCTGCATATTCGACATAATTCATCACCCATACAGGCAAAGAAAGGCATACTCTTTCGAAATCTTTTCAAGTCAATTTGCAATTCAAGAATAAAAGTTATGCAAAGGCACTAAGTAGATGCATTAGAGGAAAATTACAAGATCTTTGGTATAAATATGAAAAGAGTTAATACCATCATGTGATATGTTCTTACAGGGACTTGATAATATTCCAAGAAAATATATGGAAATTCAACAATATTGGTAAGAATTAAACAAGTAGTGCTGAAGTATAGCAGATTACTTCTTAAATTCAACCACTTTCTTATTTGATTATGTTTTTAGTCCTTGCATTTGAAAATTGCTAGGTATAAAATATAAATATATGGCAAAATCAGCTGACAACACCATATCTCATCAACTGGCTTGCATTGTATTTTTTTATTGAACGATAAAAAGATATTTTCATATAAGTTTATACATCAATTGAAATTAAATTTTATTTTTGAATGATTTTAAAGACACATCACCTATAACAACTTGATTTATTAAAAAACAAATACTGTATAGATGATCTACCTATCATCTTATGTAGTAATAAATAATTTTTAATAAATCTTTCATATAACAAAATGTCGGTATGCATTGAAACTCGAATCGGTTAAACCCATCTCACATTGAACCTCAAGAGGTTGTTTATTTAGGGATTCAATATATGCAATTTTTTTAATGTAAATCTTAAAGCCTAAGATTAAAATGAAAATTTGTGGACCAATGTAGCACATATATTATTAAGATAGGTGGCCAATTTTTTGGTTCAATGACAAAAATTACCCCTAAACTATTAGCGTTATGACAATTTAAGATTTTTAATATCAATTTAGATTATTTGGACCTAAAACTATTATTTTATGGGCAAATATTATGCTTCTTTCGTTATTTTTTTATGATAAAAAAGTTGAATGCTAATTTAAATACTTAAATAACATCGTTTAAACATTTTAGTTTCTTTTTGAAAGAAAATTATATATATATATATATATATATATATATATATATATATATATAAGAGAGAGAGAGAGAGAGAGAGAGAGAGAGAGAGAGAGAGTATTAATCTTGATTTGATATTGAGATATAGAGAGAGAGAGGAGAGAGAGAGTGAGAAAGAGGGAAAGCAAGAGGGACAGATAGAGGGAAGAGAAGGAGGAAGAGAGAGAGAGGGGGAGAGGGAGAAAGGGAGAGAAAGAGGAAGAGAAAGGGAGGTATGGGAGAGAGAGAGAGAGAGATGAAGAAAGAGGGAGAAAGACAAAGAAACCTCTTTATCTAATCTAAATCTGTATACACTAGCCATTGCTTGTCTTCTCTTACATGAGGTATTAGCTATCCGATTCGGCTCATTTCCTTACTTGCTTGATCCAAATGTTAAAAAATTTATAGTCTAATTACTTAAATTAATTCTACAGACATTAATTTTGATTTGATATTGAGAAATAGATAGATAGATAGATAGATAGATGAGAGAGAGAGAGAGATAAAAGGGACGGAAAAAGAGAGAAAAAGAGAAGAAGAAGGAAAGAGAGAGATAAGGAGGGAAAAGAGAGAGGGAGAAGAAGAGAGAAAACGAGGAAGTGAGAGAGGAGGGATAGAGAGAGGAAATAGGAGAGAGAAAGAGAGAGAAAATATAAGAGGGAGATAATGACGAGGGAGATGAAGAGAGAGAAATAGAGGGAGAATATGAGAGAGAGATAATGAGAGGGAGATAAAGAGAGAGAAATAGAGGGAAAAGAAAGCGAGATAGAAGGAGGGGAAAGAGAGAGTGTGAAAGAAAAAGAGAGAAAAAGAGAGAAAGGAAGAGAGAGGGGAGAGAAAGAAATGGAGAAGGAAGAGAAAGAGAGGGGTAGAGAGGAGGTTTTTTTTTTATTTAATCTAAATCAGTACACACTAGCAATTACTTGACTTCTCCAATATGAGCTACTAGCTATCTAGCTCGAGCTCGTCTCCTAACTTAGTTGGCCTAAATATTAAAAAATCTATAGTCTAATTAACTAAATAATTCTACAAAATTAATCTTGATTTAACGTTGAGAGAGAAAGAGAGAGAGAGAGAGAGAGAGAAAAAGAGGAAGAGAGAGAGAGAGAGAGAAAGAAGAAGAAGAAGAGAGAGACCTCTTTATCTAATCTAAATCTATACATATTAGCCATTGCATGTCTTTTCTTACATTAGCTATTAGTTATCCAGCTCTAGCTCATCACCTAACTTGTTTGACCTAAATGTTAAAAAAATTATAATTAACTTACTTAAATAATTCTACAACACTAATCTTGATTTGATGTTGAGAGAGAGAGAGATAAAGAAATTAGAGGGAGAGAGGAAAAAAGAAAAAGAAAAAAAGATAGAGAGATAGAGAGAGAGAGAGAGAGAGAGATAGTAAAGGAGGGAAAGGGATGAAAGGAAGGAAAAAGATAAAAATGGAGTATGAAAGAAAGAAATATAGAAGAAAATAGAAAGAGATGGAGAGAAATAGAGAAAGAGAGAGAGTAGGAAGGAAAAACAAAGAAAGAGAGAGAGAGAGAGAAGAAAGAGAGCAAAAAGAGAGAGAGAAAGATAAATAAAAATAGAAATAGAAGAAGAGAGAAAGAGAAAGTGAGGTAGAGGGATAGAGAAAGATATAAAAATGGAGAGAAAAAGAAAAAGAGATAGCAATAGATAGAGAAAGATAAAAAGAGATGGAGGAAAGATAGGGAGAGAGAATAAGGAAAAGAGAGAGGGAAAAGGGAGGAGGGAGAGAGAGAAAGAGGGATAGAGAGAGATATAAAGAGCATGCAGAGAGAGAGAGAGAGAGAGAAGTAAGAAAGAGAAAAAAGGAGAGGAAGAGAGATGAAAAATGAGAGGGAGATAGAGAATGGAAGGAGGAGAGAAAGATAGATAGTAGAAAAAGATATGGGGATATAAAGAAAGAAGAAGAAAGAAAGAGATGGAGAGAGAGAGAGAGAGAGAGCGAAAGAAAGAGCATAAGAGTATGAGAGATAAAGGAAGAGGAAAATGGGAAGGGGGAGAGAGAGAGAGAGAGCCATAGAGGAATGTGAGAGAGGGAGAAAGAAAAATAAAAATAAAAAATGAATAATTGATGTGGGGAGAGGGAGAGAGACCAAGGGAAAATGAAGGAGTGAGAACGAGAAAGAGCGAAGGAATGATGAAAAGATTAAAAAAAGGAAAGAATAGGTATAAAGAGAAAGAGAAAAAGAGAGAGAGAACCATTTTTATCTAGTCTAAATCTTTATATAGTAACCATTGTCCGTCTTCTTTAACATGAGCTACTAGTTATCCAGACTTTAGCTCCTCCCTTAACTTATTTGACTTAAATATTAAAAAATGTATAGTCCAATTACCTAAATAATTTTATAGCATTAACCTTGATTTGATGTTGAGAGAGAGAAGAGAGATACGAGAGAGAGAGAGGAAGAAAGGGAGAGAGACAGAGAGAGAGAGAGAATGAGAGAGAGGAATAGAAAAAGAATGGTAGATAGAGAGAGAATGAGAGAAAGAAGAAGAATAAGAAGATGGAAAAAGAGAGAGAGAGATGGGAGAGAGTGAAAAGAGGAGGGAGATGGAAAGAGGAAGGAAATTAGAGAGAGAGAGAGAGATAAAGGTGCCTTTTTATCTAATCTAAATCCATACATACTAATCACTATCCGACTTTTCTAACATGAGCTACTAGTTATCCAGACTCTAGTCTATCCCCAAACTTGCTTGACCTAAATATTAAAAAATTTATAATTCAATTATTAAATAATTCTACAAGCATTAATCTTGATTTGATGTTGAAAGAGAAAGAGATAAAGAGCGAAGTAGGGAAAAGAGGAGAGAAATAGGGAAGAGGAGGGGAGAGAAAGAGAGAAGAAGTGAGAGAGTGGGCGAGAGAGGAAGAATTAGAGGGAAAGAGAGCAGAATAGAGAGAGCTAGAGAGAGGGAAAAAAGAGTGCGTGAGAGAGAGAGAGAGAGAGGCCTCTTCATCTAATCTAAATTTATACATATTATTCATTGTATGTATTCTCTTATATGAGCTACTAGTTATCCAACTTTGCCATGTCACTTAAATTGCTTGACCAAAATGTTAAAAAATTTACAATCCAATTACTTAAATAATTCTACAACATTATTCTTAAATATATATTAAAAGAGAGATAAAGAAAGGGAGAGACAAAGAAAGAGTGCGGATAGAAAGAGAAGGGGTGAGAAAGAAAGAAAGAGGGAGGGAGAGAAAGAGAGGAAGAAAGAAAGAGAGAATGAGAGATAGGGAGAGAAAGAGAAAGATAGGGAAAGAGAAAGAGAAAGAGAGGGAGAAAATAAAAAAAGTAAGAAAGGAAGAGAATTGAGAGAGAGAGGAATGT